AAAATACAGGAAGAAAGGAGAATTGAAAAGATGAATACAAATTGAATCGTTCAGTGTCTTGGTTCAAGGTTCGTGGTCCGAATCCATCATCTGGCCAGTGTGGAGTTTGCATATTCCTTACGTGGGCTCTCTCTGCACTGGATTAGGTTAACTGGGAATCTAAATTGTCCATGAGTGAGTGTGAAAGGTTCTCTGTCTCTCTGTGTTACAGAGAAACAGGCTAATCAGGGGATTTTGTTTTAATCTTTCATGAATGAACTGGAACCTGAGGTGATGGACAAATACATACATACAACGCTCTAATTAACTCTGTCTGCTTTAAGTTACCTCACACATGAGAAAATTGGAGTCCATTAGACAGATATGACTTAAACCACTGTGCCACAGTACCTTTAATATCTATGACATGTTCTAACAACTGTAATAAAAAGTGTGGTCAACAGTGTCAAACACTACACTGTCTAGCAGTACAGAGGTAAGTCTACTGTCTGAGGCCACATTTGTAACCTTCATTAATGCTGCTTGTGTACAGTGAATTCTGAATCGATTCAGTTTTATTTATATATCACGAAATTGCAACAACAGTCACCACAAGGTGCTTTATACTGTGAGGTAAAGACTACAATAATAGAGGAAAAACTCCAACAATCAAATGACCTCCTCTGAGCTCCTCTTGGTGACAGTGAAAAGGATAACTCCCTTTTAAATGGAAGAAGCCTCCAGCAGAACCAGACACATTGATGGTTTGGTGGAAGTTATTATTGAAGTTAACACAGAAAGATTGGAGCGAGAATCTAAACGAATATCAGCTGTACATAATGATCTGTGGGGTGGTTGGAAATGTTTTTCCTCTAATGGTGAAAATTTAATTTGTTAATACAATTTCATTTATTTTTTAAAGAAACTTGCTAATTCATTAGTAGGTAAGGTTAAAGGAAGGCTTGGCTCAGTAGACATGTGACTCTCTGTTAGCCTGGCAAGAACCCTGAGTTTAACCTGGGTTATTCTTATTTTCTTCAGGCAGTAATGAATATTAAATGTCCTAGTTTTATGATTATTTTTTCTTTGTTTGTTTTCCATTTTATTTTGGAGCCAATTGTGGCCGAATTTGGAGGTGAGCTGAGCATGTGCCAGAAACATTTATCATGAGTTACAATTATCATGAGCTTAACACTGGTTAAATTTAGCTCTTATTTTCCTTTAACACAATTGGTGTCCTGGGCAGTAATTATATCAAACACTGAAGGTTGGTGTTTTTTTCGTAACAAAAATTCTCAGTGAAACTTTTAATTTGAAACAGGAAGTGTTTTGTTTAGCTTCCTGGAGTAATGGGGGTACGCTATAGCGACACACGTGTGTTTGGAACTTAGGAAAAGACGACTTAACAGCGGCTCTATATCCAGGTGTGTTGACGTTTATTTTATACGAAATACAGGAAAGAGCAGACTTAATAAGCTTGATGGATGACGTTTTCGCTTGTTTCCGGTTATTGTGTTTATAACGCGCTCGCTCTTTGGCCTGGAGGGAGGGTGCAGCTCATTTAAAAACACATTTGATTTTCAGCGCGGTGTTCATCCAGATAAAAAGACTGTGGAAGTTGTTTTGTTTCCCCATGTACTAACTGTTAATCCTGCTTGTGAATGTTACACCTAACAAGCCTCCTGAAAGTAAACACTGAACACGAGATGACGCCATTTCCGTGGGTAAAATACCGACGACTGTCCTGAGAATTATTATTGTTGCTCCATATAACCCGAATCAGAGTCCAGCTCTCATCAAAGCCGAATAAATCTGCCGTAAAGTCCTCATTCATGTGTTAGACAAGCTAATGCGAATACAATCCACAAGATACATTATGTATACAATTCCCCATGCAGTTATTTGCTCTGTTAGGTAACCGTAGTCCTTATGAACCAGTGAAAACTTACATTTTAGTCTTCGGAAAGATTTGCTAGGATTAATAGAAAGTACTGATATTAATATTCGTTAGTTTTCAAGATCACATTTTCATCCAGCGGCATCGATCATTAGCTAGCACCGAGTTGCTAGTTGCTATATGGTGTGTGGTTATTTCCGTCAATCTGCGCTTTTAAAGTTATGCATCTTGAAAGTACAAAAACCCCAAAGAACTGGAAAAATTTAAGAGACATTTCAGGAGCGCCCACGTTGATGTCAGGTCAGGTTTTAATAAAAAGAAAATCCACTTGTGCCAATGGAGACAGGAGAAGCGTATTTATTAGATGTGTAACACATCTGATGCAAGATGGCGCACAGACCGGTGTTGTGCCAAAAAGCGATTTTCAATGTTTCCGTGTATTTTTTTTTTTTGTGTAATATCCTTACGTATGTCGGTAAACAGCGTTTATAAGGGGGTTATATATAGAATTAAAAAAATATCTGTTGTTTCATGTATCTTTACAACTCTGTGTTATTGTACTTACATTATAACCAATCCTTTATCCCCACTTAAAATATTTTTACAGAACTATTGTAATATTTGCTGCCATTTCTGCTGTCCTACTAACTTACTCTTACACACATTTGTAATGTTAATGAGTTTTTTTTAACTGCATAATTAAAGGTTATATAAAAGTCACGGCCAAAACCTGATTGCGGCTTCTACCTTGTTACACAAATGTTGTTTGTGGCTCAAGATGACTTTATGTCATCCATGAGGGATGCATTTGACATATGGTTCACATATTATAGCCCAACAAGTTACTTACAACAGTTTAAATACAAGCAATCCGTTTTTGGCAAATACCGGAAATCAGTTTTTGGCAGACACCAGTACCTGCCTGCTCGGTGCTGCTGCGCTTGGCGGAAAGCGTCATTAGAAAGATTGAAACTCTTAGGCTACGTTCACACTGCAGGTCTTAATGCTCAATTCCGATTTTTGGATCAAATCCGATATTTTTGTCTGCTTGTTCACACTACAGATAAAATGTGACAGCAAACACGCTCTAGTGTGAACCCTCAAAGCGCAAAAGAAGACGTCACACACAACGCGCTCTGTTTAGACCCAGACAGAACAGTATTGTTTGACTGATGGCCCTTAATATAACGACTTCGGACTTTATGTTTCCCAATTTTGTTTTAAGTTATAAAGTTATTTTGTTATTTAAATATGGCCTAATAATGATCCTTATTGCTGTTTTAGAGGAGCGGTGCTTCAAAGGATAGTTGCAGATTTCTGTCAGAATCTGCAGATTATACAGTACAAATAAAATGTTCATGTTTCTCCAACGTTGTCTTCCCAACAGTTTCACTGACATCTACACTGGATGTCCAGAAAGCGTTCACGGTGTCTTCTCCGGCGCTGATAATTGGCGTCTGTCTTGTGTCAGTGACGTAAAAGACGGATTTAATGCGACATGACCGTTCAAACAGCAGTCGCTTTCTAAAGCATCGGATATGGGTCGCAAAGGGTCAAAAAAGTCGGATTTGATGCGCTTTCGCCTGCAGTGTGAACGTAGCCTAAGAACGCTTTTTTCTTTGTAGGGTTGAATAATTATGACAAACTCAGCACCATGTAAAATAGTTCACATTTGTTTTATTTCCAGTCTCTGCGTCTACTACAACCTCATAAACAAAGATGAAGAAGAAGCAGAAACAGCTGCCGAGCTCAAAGAAGAAAGGGTTAGAAAGCAGCAGCGACGGGGAGTCGTCTGATGTGGAGAGGAACTTTGCACTGA